AATACAAACCTTTGATCATTATATTATCGTGTATACGTATGTTATAAATGTCTGGTATCTAATTATTGATCATGGGTTTTACTTAGATTGGCAATAATACTGTGACAGCCAGATTTTTATCGATTTCACCGAAATCATAGTATTTTTGGAAATTATATGTAAGGCGTTATCGACCACACCGAACTTTTTCACATGTTTATTACGCCAGTTAACGGAAAATCATAAAATATAGAAAATTAGCAAAATTGTGTCACTGAAATCTGAAATTACATATGATCTGTTAATAAACATTATTTTAAGTAGATAACAGGAAAGAGAAAAAACAAATTTTATTAATAAAATAACGTTTATACCTACACCATTGTCTTTAAATTAAGAAACAGATAGCTTAAAAATATAATTGTATTTGTGCTGTATTTTTAGAATGTAGGAATATTATACCCCCTTCGAGGTACAATATTCCTAATAAGATCTTACTGGGAGGTAAGATTATCTTAGGATATTCTTACCGGGAGGTAAGACTTTCCTAGGATAATCGTACCCACTGAAGGGGGTATAATTAATCTAGGATAATCTTAACGGGAGTAAAGATAACCTAGGATAACTGTACAAGAGGTAAAATTCGCCTAGAAAAACCTTACTCCTCCCCCTCCGGTAATATTTTCTGGGGGTATGATTTAATTGGAATACCGGGATGTAAGGTACTTTCTGTATTTTCCCACGCGCTCCGCGACACGAATTGGACAATGTCATTTAGCCAATTTTATCCTTGACCCGGAACTTGGTTACCTCACGTTACCACAACCGTATACACAGCCTTTGGTTCGGAATATTCACTATTTCGCGCGTGTTTGAGTATACGTGATTACTAAAGACCGTGTCAAAATAAGTGTTAATTAGGGCTCCGAAGTTATTGCACTAAAAAGCGTATAAATTTATAGAATTACCACGGTAAAAAATAACCAAAATCGCACTTCAAAATTGCATTATTGCTATAAAAATTCCTGAAGTTGCATTTAAAAATTGCATTAATTTTTTTTTATTTATCAAAATAAGTGATAAAAACAATATTTTTTATTATGACTATCATATTACAAATGTTATTATAAAATATTTACAAATTTATTTATACAAAATTACAAAATATTTCAAATTAAAAATTCAAATTAATACAGGAATAGTGGTTTTAATCTGGTTCATCAGGAGCCTATAAACAAAATTATCAACATTTAAAAACATTTTTTTGAACAATTTTTGTAATATTTTTGAATACACATTTGTGTACCTACCTTAAAAATAAATGCGCTGTTTGATAAATGATTTCTTTAAGTTCTCGAACGATTTCCAAATTGAGGACGGTAAATTATGCAACTCGTGCATCACCTAATCTAATTATATTCCCATCACTGCCATCAAAATCGACAAAGCCCGAAATAAACATAAATTATTATTTATTATTACTATAATATTCTGACCAAGGACCAGAATCGGAACCAAGATGAAACGATTCATCAATTAGGAATTGTAACCTTAACCGGAAGTTTTATCTCTAAAAAATTAAAATCCGTAAACTTACTTATAGAACTAATTAACACTAATAAAAAATAAGAATAAGAAATAATAAATATAAAATAAATAAATAAATGAATGCTTAGCCTGAATTATTATTATATATGTAATGGCAACCGAATTCAAATTAAAAATGCATCATCAGGTATATAAAAAGTTAATAAAATCGTAATTCTATAAATATATAAATAAATATATAATTTTTTTTCGACTTTGGCCAACTAAGTTGCACCCCAGTTAATAATACATACAAACATGCCATTTGAAAAAAAGAAAAATGATTAATAAAAAAAATAAATAGAACATTTATATTGAAATAAGTGTAGTGTCTATTAAGTATTAAATATTAATTATAGTAAAATGTTATAATAATTCCAATTTGTACGATATGTTAATGTGTTAGTTTCTGAGTGTAGTGAAAGTAGATGATTTTCTCGCTAATTACTGTCGGTTGGTAAAAAAGCTACCTATCAACAAGCAGTGGTGTTTCCAAACAATGTAAAACAAACACATTTACACTTAACGAAGAATCTAAAAAAATGATTTTAATTAAATTTTTGCACATCAATTTTACTTTTGAGTTTTAATATAGAGTATTAATTAGTAAATATATTCAAACACTCGTAGCATGGAAAACCCTCAAAAAAGATGATGGGAATATCACTGCTTATAAAAGTAACAATATTTTTTTTTAATAACCGATTCACGGTAACGGTGGTCGGAACATCGTTGTTTTTTGTAATGCACGAACGCTACTTCCGAAAAAAAAGTAACTAGATCTGGTTAATATTATATGTTTCTCCAAATTGTAGTGCGATACTTTTTCGCTAAATTTTTTTTTTGCGATTTTCTTTGCTTTTCAGATCTTACACTTTTAACTAGATTATTGTTTTAATTTTTATTATTATTATTTTCAATAGCTTATCAGTTATTTGATAAACGTAGAGCAGCACTAGCCAAAACTCAAGCCTGCGTTCTGATGAAAATGATAAAACTGTCTTACTGAGAAATAAAAATAGATAATAATCATCATTTATTGATTCTGGCTACGGGAAAACTGGTCATTAAGCTGGAACGTAATGAGATTCCAACGATCTTCACAAGGTGGTATTCCACGAATACCGTGTTCCCTATAGGCCGTGTAGACCGTGTTGATGTTAAATATTGTGTAGAATTTTACTATTGCCAATAAATATGATAAGTTAACTAAACTATACTTTTGATGTTTGATAAGAAAAGTACTAATGTTTTTTTTTTGTTGATTGTAAATATTGTGCAATAATATACATAGTATTTCAATTTCTTCAATTTCTTTCCATTGTTTAAATAGTGAAAATTCGAACTTACTACTAACTTACTGAACTAAGTAAAAAGTAATAAGTATTTATGCTTAATATATATTATTATTATTTAATATTTGTGCTTAATTCTTTCTAGTTTCAAAATAATAATATATTATATATATAAATATCAATTAAAATTACATAAAAGAAAAATTATAATAATAACTACTATTTTAGAAGAATTACATCATACAAGGTAGAAATAAATATATTAGCAGACTTTGGTAGTAATTTGTTAATTATTGTACTATTAATATTAATTGTTAACGAGATGAGATAATAAAAATTATATATATAATTATTATTATTATTATTCGTTATATTATAACGAAAAATGATATTATTATACCAACAATAACCACACGGTTAAAAAATGAAATTATTCAACTTTATGGTAACAAGTGGTAACGTGTGGAATATCATGGTATTCAAATTACGGTTATGATATTAACTATCCAATCGTATCGTTTGATATTACACGGTCTACACGGAACACGGTGTTAGTGGAATACTGCCTTTATCTATGGTCGATTACGACTCGATACCTGGTGTAGCTAAAAGATACCACATACCATTATTTTACTTCGTTTTTTTCTCTCGTTCGAAAAATGATCGAGGTATGAACACGAAACGTATTTTTTCTGTAGATTCCTGACACATAAAAAAAAAAAAATTATATAGTGCGACTTTTTAACATCTCCCTGCGTCAACGGTGGAATGATGGACTGGTTAGTTATATGGAATGGTACACGCGATGTACGACAAGGTAACGTACAATTATCATTGTAATTATTATTATTTTCGTAAACTGTTTTGATGGGTAATTTTCTATAACTTGAACGTATTGAATAAACGAAGCATGCTGTCGTTTAATTATTGTTGTTAATGGTCCCCACGATACACGACTCCCTCAAACGAGATTGTAGGTAATATTTTCTTTAGATATCATGATGTTTTGTTATACTTGTATATAAATTATATTTTATTTTAAATGACCAAGTTTTACGCCATATGGATTTTTTAGTGCCCAACTTAAAATCAATGAAATAAATTACTTCGATCCTACATTTACGAAATTATTTAATTTTATATTTATTATTATGATTATCAATATTGTTCTGCATTTCCTTTACTAAGTTATTTTAATGAAAAATCTGGCGCACTCCGTTCAGTGCTTTGACCATGGGTTGGCCGCCCTTGTCTCTCTAAATTGAAACGAGTTCACAAGTTGCTCAAAGATTCAAATAAATAAAAAAAAATTTAATTAAAAAGACCAAATATTTACAAATATTTCAATAAAATATATGTTGAAACAAAACTGCATTTCTCTCGTTTAAAGCAATTAATAACAAAAAATGTATTTATCTGCACTACTACTTATTATAAAAATAAATAACAGATTGAAAATAAAATGTTCACCATTTAATCATTGCAATTGAGTATCGATAATTTTCGCTGCCCTACTAGTCTGTTTTTAGCAACGTAACGTTAATCGGTACAAATAATGAGCTACAATTAGCGCGTAGTTCTCGACCACTGTGCATCATTAAAACCCTGGCCCCACGATTTATGTATTTGACGAATAATCGCTATTCGTATAGTCGCGGTGACTACACGCGGTGTTCACACAAACGGAGTACACGAAAGAATATTCGTATTCGGTACTCATCATTCGCTTAATCTAATCTAAACTTCCCGTGGACTATTTGTCGTTTAGTGAAGTTATCAAACATCGAAACAATGTTGTCTCATCGCATATTGCGCAATAAACCTAAGTGCGAATATTGTCGTGTGACAATAATAATGACATGACCGCGGCGAACTACAAATAAATAAATACATTCACGACTATAAGAATGAGCTTATTGTGCTATTTGTGTAGATCAGTGATGGGCAAAGTACGGCCCACGGGCCAACTCCGGTCCGCGAAAGAATTTAATCCGGCCCGCCGAAGGTCCACCGACATGGATAGTAATGGCCCACAAATTAGGGTCGCAGAGGTTTTCCAGCATTTCTTATAATTTATATATTTTATTTTTTTACATTATCATTTTAATTTAGGAAAAAACTTCCCGAAATATTCTGAAAATGATCGAAGAAAATAGTTTTAAATATATAAATGTATCTGCAGAAATGCAGTTGGAAATTATTGAAATGCAGTGCAGTACCCATTTAAAGCAATTGTTCTTAAATTCCACAAAACTAGATTTTTATAGAGCACTGCAGAAAGCCGAATTTCCAAAAATAATTGCCCAGAAAATTATGGCGATGTTTGCGTCGTCTTATGTGTGCGAACAAACTTTTTCGACCATGAAATTGCGGAAAAACTCAATCAGAAACCGATTGAGTAATGAACACCTTTTCACACTGCTGAAAGTTGCTTCATCACAGCTGGAACCTGCTTTCGAAAATATTATGGAAAATCAAAAACAATTCCATATGTCTCACACGCCTACCATGGTTGAGCTGCCGAATAAAAGTTAAATTAATTATTATTTAAGGTAAAAGGTAATTTGTAACATTTGTCTGTAATGCTGTAATGTTTTTAGAATATTATGATTCAAAGCTTTAACACAAAATGCATTTTTTTTATAATTCTGGCCCTCCTCTAGAATTTCTTAAGCCTTGTGCCCCCCCCCCCCCCCATTAAAAAAGTTTGCCCACCACTGGTGTAGATCAACGTTTCTCAAATTTTTTTTTATGTCGTGACCCCAAAATAGATAAAAATAAAATCAATCACCTCCCCCCCCTTATAATTAAAACGATTTTAAGCTTTTATCTATCTAACCAGTTACAATATATATAATATATAATTTACCATTAACAAAACAAATAACTAATATTTGAGTAAACATTGGTTCCATTCGCTACTTTTTAACTATGCAAAAAGGTTTCTTATCCATGATGGCATTAAAATCTAAATTCAAAAATCTTTTGATATTTTTATAAAATAATTTACTTCCAATTTGACAAAACAAATTTTTAAATATAAAACTATCACAAATGTTACATTTAGTTTTTACTTTCTAATAGGTAGATACCTGTTACAAATTTTAATATAGAAAAAAAAAAATACTAACTTATTAAATATATATAATTCATTTACATTTTTCATATAAACTATCAACATTTAAGTGTCATCATTGGGTGGCTTCTTTATTCACTTTTTGTATTTTGTATACTCATGTTATCTGTACCCCTTATCATATATGCTTATTGTGTCGTTTGATATAGATTGTATATTACGTATTAAAATAAAAAAATAAAAAAAACTTTCTAATTTATTTTTCATTGTTTAATAGTTTCAAAGTTCCATAGTGTAATTATAAGTACTATTAGATTTTTCATTTTTGTTATTGTGATTATGAATTTTTATTTCTTTTTTTTTTAATATAAATAAAAATTTATTTTTCTTTATTAGAGTTTAATTGTTTCTGATTCATACGATCCCTTATTTACGTTGATCGCGACTTCCCCCGGTTATAAACGCTGGTGTAGATAGACGATAGTAAACGGTATTCGAATATTTTCGTCAAATGCACGGGTTGTGGGAAACATATTTATTACAACGTTATCGGTATTGACATACTGTGGGGGGCCGAGTTTTCGCCGAAGGTTGAAACAATTGGTCGACGGACAAAGCGAGGGAAAAAGCGAATGGAAACACACATCGTAAAGTAAGGGTATAAAATACGAGGGGATTTTCATGGACTAAAGAACATGATATTGTGCGTCACATATGCGCTGAGACTATTTTGTGTGTATATGTTTGTATACGTGTATATATTGCGTTTGTCAATTTTTTATTCCTAATATCTCGGAGACGAATATTTACTGCGGTTAGTTTCATAACGTAAAGCGCATATAATTAAGATATACACTCACACATACGTGCAAATACTGTTGCTCGAGTTCCATACCAATTAAGATCAAATAATAATTATAACGCCATTGTAAACGAATAATACGTATGTATACTCGAGTAGAGGGGTTTCTTGACAAATTCCAAGGATTGGAGGCGGCAAACATATTTTTACACATATAACTTTCCCCGCGCGTCTTTAGTGAAACTTGTGCGCTCACATTTACTTGGCAAAAACCCTTAAGATATGACACGTAGGAATTGGTGTGATAATTACGAGTAAAAAAATATGCCACGGTTCCTACAAACCAAATGGTGGAACTTAATCACCACGCCTTGTCTTTTTACTCACGATTGACGGTGGCTGGGAGATTTTCGCGTTGTACTATTGAGAAGAGATCACGTATTGTACGTCAGTGGATGGGGCGCAATACGCAAATTTAGAACTGATTAGAGTTTCGACATAAAGTAAACGAGAGTAATGAACTGTAAAACAATTGAAGGTTAGATTTGTCGATAGCTCGATTGTATTTTTGAAAACTGCAGAAATGATACCGTAGATTCTTATTATGTCAAACGTCACTATCTTGAATTTTTCGTTATCATGAACAACATTGAATTCTCTTTGAAACTAACATTACATTCTATATCAGTGGTTCTCAACCAGTGTGCCGTGAAAAATGTTTGAAAATACCGATTGATGAAACTATGAAAGTTAAATGTCAATTGTGCAAATAAGACAATATATATGTAGGTAAACTGTACGGTTTTAATTCAACTGTATATCTAAGCGCTTAGCCAAAGTTTTTATTTTTGTCAATTGCATGAGTGTGCCGTGAAACTTGTAATGTATAATGGTGTGCCGTGAACAAAAAAAGGTTGTGGACCACTGTTTTAAAGGGTTTTGCTCTCAATAACTTGATATACAATCAATCATTTTTCGAGTACACAAATAATATTTTTATTACGTTAAGAACAGACAATTGTACAGTATATTCAGTATAGTAATAATTACAATTATTGTGATTTCGCACATTGGTCACGTTTGTAGTCCTTCGTAAGTCGTTCGTTCGTTTGTAGTGAAATGGAAAAGAAGCGTAAATTAAATTTCCTTTCAATTTTGGACAAAATTCGTTAAATATAGTTGGTTAAAATAGATGACCGTAAAAAATGTGAAATGGCCATAGACTTAAATATTTTACTTAATACATTATCGTCAATTATTAAACAGAAAGATAAAATTTTGAAGTTGAATTGTGGAAATATGAAAAAAAATGAGAAGGACTCCTTAAGTGGTCATCGATAAATGTTTGTTAAAATGGTTTACTCAGTGTCGAGATAAGAACATACCATTAAACGGAACAATTTTATTTGAAAAAGTAAACGAATATGCGCAACAATTGGGACACATTAATTTTAAAGCTAGCGGTTGTCATAAAATTGGAAAAAAAGACATGATATAGTTTTTCGAAAAGTTTGTGGAGAAAGTGCTTCAGTAGACGCATTGTTGTTCAGATTGGATTAAAACCCTTCCTGACGATTTAGCAGCTTCTTATAATATTTTTAACGTCGATGAAACGGGATTATTTTTCAAATTCTTACCAAATATAACTTTAATGTTAAAAGATAAATAATTTTTAGGTGAAAATGCGGTAAAAAGCGCATAGTAGGAGCAAATATGTTTGGAACTGAATAACTATAATTAATATTATGGTTTAATGAAATAACATTTTTCTAGCCGACTATAGGTCAAATAAAAAGATTTGAATGATTTCGTCATTATTTAGTGAGTGGCTTTTAAATTTCGATAGAAAAATTAAACTATAAAATTGAAAAGTTCTACTATTTATAGATAGTAATATTAAGCACATTTTAATGACAGATTATTTAAAAAAAAATTAATTTGTTAAGTTATTTATGCATATTTATTCAGTTGTTTTAATTATTTCAGTATTTTAAGTTTTCAAATTATATAATTTAAGCATTCGTATTATTTATTTTCATATATTATTATTTTTCAATGTTTTTCCAAATTTTTTGATAAAACTCGATATCTCGAACTTTTTCCTGTTCCCCTTGAGATTCGACATAACAAGAATCTACTGTATTATTATTATCGTTACCTCTCGCGTATTTTATTATTAAATTCAATATGTACACAGCTTGTTCGTACACCAAGCGAAAATGTTTTGGACCTAATGAATACGTTTTTATGTATTGTCTAAATTATGTGTGACTGCATATGGTATAATTGTGTAGGAAATGCACCAGCAATAACATTAAATATTTGAAGTCATTAATTTATATTTAACAGTACCTTAAAATCTGATTTAAAAAACAAAAATACCATCTGAAAAATTACAACTTTCAGGACCCTCTTTCCCGATTCACTGAAAATAATAATTTTATTCGTGCAGTTTCACATTCTAAAATAGTGTGGTCCAGATTTTTAAATTCCTGTTAGAAATCGCATGCGAACAGTTGTAAGGGATTTAGATTTTCGTATTCGCACGATGTCATCAAAAGTACGACGAGTATGGCGTAGATTATCGACCTCTGTAATTATACATGTACACAGATGTGCATACAAGGTATGTGGTGTATTTGCTCTTTAGATTCTTGACCTTTTAGTTGTCCGTCATTAATGCGGTCTGCATACCGAGTTGCCAATGCTCGTGCGATTTATAAGACACAAACCGAGAATAAACGACATCCGTGTATTTATAGAATACTTGTAATTATAAAGGTTAATAATAAATTCGTTTATCATGCTTCATCCCTATACAATCTCTCTCGTATTGTATGAATACCAATTACTGAACTCACAACGAGATGTCTTCTTTGTTTCATTATTCGATTACAGTTTTCAGCAAACGAAAGTAGAATGCATTTTTTTTCTATTTGCCATAGTCTTGACGTTATTTTTCTAAATCCATATTATTATTATCGAATAGGAATAAACACTTATGTCACGTGAACATTTTCTTATTTAAATACTCTATGTGTTGGTAAATCGAAATATTTAAAACGAACCGTGATAATAATAATTGGTTTATTTTCTTCGTCTAATTAGATTATTGTACAATACTATATTGTTCGTAATATTTTTTCAGCAGAAAATCTTAATTTCAAACTATAAATTATTTTAAGACTAATCTCTAAGGGTATCAATAATATTCGATGTATTGGCGTTTGACATTATCTGCGGGAATTCACTATAGATTTTTATTTATTATATACTAAATCTTAACACATCCCGAGGCCACGGTAAAAAACATATTTTATAGTATATCTTATTTGTCAATTTTATTATACTTTTGGCAATTCAAAATATATTTGCTAGTAATGAATTATATAACTCCTTTGTACAGCATATGAATCGGAAATCGAATACTATAGATGGTATAGTAATAAAACATAATATTTAAAATTGTCAAATGTTTCCGGAAAAAAAAAAAATTAAGTTATATCATTATTTTTAATAAAACAATTTTTTTTTATGGTTGAAACTATTTCAATTGAATGTAATAATAATATTTCCTGATTTGTCATATTTAATAATTCATGTTACTACAAAAAAATATGCTTTCCGTGAGTTTATTTTGGTACAAATAAAATCAGC